TGATTAGGGGGCTGGAGGCTAAAACATATCAGGAATGGTTGCTGGAATTGGGTATGTCTAGTTTAATGAAGAGAAGGACGAAGGGTGACATAATAGCAGTGTTCCAAAATCTCAGGGGTTGCCACAAAGAAGAGGGAGTCAAGCTATTCTCCAAAGCACCTGAAGGCAAGACAAGAAGCAATGGATGGAAACTGACCAAAGAGCGAAGCAACCTAGAACTAAGCAGAAACTTCCTGACAGTTAGAACAATTAATCAGTGGAACAACCTGCCTCCAGAAGCTGCGAACTCCAACACTGGAAGTTTTAAAGAAGAGATTGAACAGCCATTTGTCTGAAATGGTATAGCCCCTGAGCAGGGGTTGGATTAGATGACCTCCAAGATCCCTTCCAACTTTATTATTATTATTATTATTATCAATCATTGCACAGTCAGCCAGATGTTCAGACTGGATTTGGCATTTTGTCTATCTATTGAGTCCTTACCCAGGACCTGGGATAGGCAGATGTGGATGTTTGATGGTATTACAGATATCGTCACAGGATGGAAGCAGTTCCTAAAAAGGCCGCCTTTTGCAATTGACTAATAGCAAATTTGTCAATGCCAATGGTGTTCAAGTGGTGCTCCAGTTGTTTTGGGATTGCACCCAAGGAGCCTATTACTATTGGTACTACCCTTGCTTGCTTTTGCCACAGTCTTTCTATTTCTATTTGTAGGTCTTTGTATTTTGTTATCTTCTCCAGTTCTTTCTCTCTATTCTGCTGTCTCCAGGCACTGCCACGTCCACTATCCAGACTTTTTTGTCTTTCTTATCGACAATTGTTAAGTCTGGGGTGTTATGTTGCAGGTGCTTGTCTGTTTGAATTCTGAAGTCCCAGAGCAGTTTAATTTTATCATTTTCTATGACTTTCTCTATTTTATGATCCCACCAGTATTATTATTATTATTATTATGGATCATCGCACAGTCAGCCAGATGTTCAGACTGGATTTGGCATTTTGTCTACCTATCGAGTCCTTACCCAGGACCTGGGATAGGCAGATGTGGATGTTTGATGGTATTACAGATATCGTCGCAGGATGGAAGCAGTTCCTAATAAGGCCGCCTTTTGCAATTGACTAATAGCGAATTTGTCAATGCCAATGGTGTTCAAGTGGTGCTCCAGTTGTTTTGGGATTGCACCCAAGGAGCCTATGACTATTGGTACTACCCTTGCTTGCTTTTGCCACAGTCTTTCTATTTCTATTTGTAGGTCTTTGTATTTTGTTATCTTCTCCAGTTCTTTCTCTTCTATTCTGCTGTCTCCAGGCACTGCCACGTCCACTATCCAGACTTTTTTGTCTTTCTTATCGACAATTGTTAAGTCTGGGGTGTTATGTTGCAGGTGCTTGTCTGTTTGAATTCTGAAGTCCCAGAGCAGTTTAATTTTATCATTTTCTATGACTTTCTCTATTTTATGATCCCACCAGTTTTTGCTTACAGGCAAATGATATTTTTTGCAGATCTTCCAATGCACCATTGTTGCTACTTTGTCATGCCGCTGCTTGTAATCAGTTTGTGCAATCTTCTTGCAACAGCTTACCAAGTGGTCCACTGTTTCTTCAGCTTCTTTGCATAGGCGGCACTTACTGTCTGTTGCTGTCTTCTCAATTTTGACTTTGTATGCATTTGTCCTTAAGGCTTGGTCTTGTGCAGCCAGAATTAGTCCCTCGGTCTCTTTCTTCAGTTATTATTATTATTATTATTATTATTATTATTATTATTATTTATTTATTTATTTATTTATTTATTTATTTGTTCTTAAAGTTGATGTAGTTGGAATCAAAACTGACATATCATTGCTTATTCTAATTTGGATATTACTGTTGGAATTATTGTAGTTGTGAGTGGGTTTATATTTTTATTTTTGTGAACTGTGATCTTTGGATAGCAATTAGCCAATAAAGAAATAAAATCAAACAATACAATAACACTTTGTTGTTATTAAAATGACTAGAAAACCAAAAGAATGTGGCACTTCGACTTCAGTACATGGCATTTTATAACATTGATTGTTGCTGGCTTTAATATTTTCAGAGCAGATCCTAAAGAGCAGTCATGTCAAACTGCTGGCCACAGGCTGGATGCGTCATGCTGAAACCGCGCCCACCCCATTGCCAGCAATGGGGAAAAAGTTGCAATACATCACGTGACATCATGTGACATTGCGAGTTTGACATGTCTGCCAAAGAGAGTGTACACTGGAGAAAATATCAAGATAATTACAATAACCAAAAGTTTATTAATGAAATCCCAATAGTTACAGCATTGGAAAGTTCCCTCTGAGACAAGAAAGAAATGTACAGGTACAGATTAGGTGTATGAAACTTGGCTCAGTAGCAATAACTGTGAGAGGAATCTTGGGGTCCTAGTGGATAATCATTAAATATGAACCAGAAGTGTGCAGCAGCAGCCAAAAAAGCCAATACAATCCTAGGCTGCATTAACAGAGGGATACAATGAAGATCACATGAAGTATTAGTGCCAGTTTATAATGCCTTGTTAAGACCACACTTGGAATACTGCATCCAGTTTTGGTAGCCACATTATAAAAAAGATGTTGAGAGTCTGGAAAGAGTACAAAGAGTAATAAAGATGATTAGGGGCCTGGAAGCTGAAACATATGAAGAACAATTGCAGTCCAGTGAAAATAAGTTCTAGTCTAGTGAAAAGAAGTTCTAGAAGTGACATGATAACAGTGTTCCAATATTTGAGGGGCTGCCACAAAGAAGAGGGGGGTCAACCTATTTTCCAAAGCATCAGAAGGTAAGATAAGAATGAATGGATGGTGTTCTGTTCTGTGTGTTGGTAAGTAATTGAGACGAGGCAGGTGTAACAACAGTTACTTCTTTATTGAAACTTCAACAGAACACAAAATGGTGCAGATACCTTTTATACCTTTTGCATGGAACAGCGTCAGCCAATAAATGCAATGTATTTTCCCGCTTTGCGCATGCTCAATAGGCTGGAGACAGTCTGTCTGGCCCGGGCAGCCATATGGTCTGCCTGGGTCTCTCTGCAACTTCCTGCACCTGCTCTGTCAATCACAGGCCCAGGACATAACAGATGGAAACTAATCAAGGAAAGAAACAACCTAGAACTAAGGAGAAATTTCCCAACAGTGAGAACAATTAACCAGTGGAACGGCTTGCCTTCAGAAGTTGTGGGTGCTCCATCACTGGAGGCTTTTAAGAATAGACTGGACAGCCATTTGTCAGAAATGGTACAAGGTCTCCTACTAGAGCAGGCATGTTAAACTTGCGACGTCATGTAACATAATGCAACGTATTGCGACTTTTTCCCCATTGCCGGCAATGGGGTGGACGCAGTTTTAGTGTGACACCTCCGGCCCGTGGGCTGGCAGTTTGACACGTCTGTGTTAGAGCATGCAATTAGAGTAGAAGACCTCCAAGGTCTCTTCCAACTCTATTACTCTGTTCTGTTCCTTCCAACTCTACATGGTGAATCGTAGAATGTTCACATTATTTTGTTAATAGTTACCGTATAATATTTTCAGCATATGAAGAATGTATGACCATTCTCCTAGCCAATCTGCTAATTCTATATTTATTCTGGATAACTATTTTATGTCTTTTATTATCTATTTTCTTTTACATGCTACTTATACCTGGTGTTTTAACTGCCCAGTTATCTTGTGACATGGGTGGCCATAATAACTGAAATGAATAATATATTTTGGTTACAATAAATACTATAAACTATTGATATACAGTAATCATAAATTTAAAGGAAAACGCCAACATTTTGTGCTATTGGTGTAATCTTCAACTTCTCTTATGAGGCAATTCTATGTAGGGTGCTTTTATTATAATAATAATAATTTTTTATTTTGCGGTCACAGACCAAAATACAAGTGCAACAACAACAAAAAAACACAAGAAAAATATAATCACAAACAATTAACACCAGAAGTCTTGGCTAAGGGGAATTACAACGTTCTCCTCTAATAGTTACAGCTCTTAAAATAAATTTAGAAACCTGAGAAGTAATATAGGAGGAGCCATCCCCTAGGCCAGGGGTAGGCAACCTTGCTCTTTTATGACTCATGGACTTCAACTCCCAGAATTCCTGAGCCAGCCATGCTGAGGAGAAATGGAGAGGTTTCCATGCTGAGCCATGCTGCTCAGGAATTCTGGGAGTTGAAGTCCATGAGTCATAAAGAGCCAAGGTTGCCTACCCCTGCCCTAGACAATATAAAACCAAATTACTAATATTAGAACCAGAGGGATCAATTCCAAGGAGAGGCAATAGTTTACATCTGGCTGTATTATACATAGGGTAGTATAATAAGACATCTCCAGTTTCAACTTCAGCCCTATCACAGGGACATAATCACTCACTAAACAGGACCCTCTTGAATTGCCCATCGAGTAGTGCAGTAGGGTGCTTTAAATAAATCAAAGACTACATACAGATAATCCTTGACTTACAATAGTTTATTTAGTGATGGTTCAAAGTTACACTGACACTAAGTGCCTTATGACCATTTTTCAGTTACAACCTTTGAAACATCCCCATGACCATGTGATCAAAATTCAGATGCTTGGCAACTGGTTCATACTTGTGACATTGCTGTGTCCCAAGATGACTTGTGCAAACTTCTGGCAAGCAAAGTCAATGGGGAAGCCAGCTTCACTTAACAAGTGGGTTACTAATTTATCAACTAACAAGTGGGTTATTAATTTATCAACTGCAGTTATTCACTAAACAACTGTGGCAAGGAATGTCATAAAATTGAGCAAAACTCACTTAACAAATGTCTCACTTAACAGAAATTTTGGACTTAATTGTAGTCGTAAGTCGAGAACTAGTTGAAATGCGTGAGGCAATTTTCTCACCGAGGTGTAAGGCAGTCTGCCGTCATTTTTATAGAGTTAATAAAGAACAATACTCCAGCCCTTCAAAACGAATTTATTTCATGAAGATGAGATATACCCAATGGCAGTATTACCGCTCTTGCGGAGGAAAAAGTCTTATTGGATTGAAGCCAAATTTTGATTTCAACGCCATCCACTTTTCTCGGAGACAGCCTAAAATAAAAGAAAACAACAAGCCCGGCCGGACGAAAAAGAAACTAGCCACCCAAAAGGCAGTCACGGGCGAGCCCGCTTACATCTCACGAAGCTCCTCCCCTCGGCGCTATTTCCCGCGCGGAGCTGTGACCGTTCTGTCCAATCAAGAGTTAAGCAGCCATCAAGAGTTGCCTCTTCGAAACAGAGCGCGGGATTGCTTTCCCCTGTCGGTTACTGGCGTGGCCTACTTTTTCACGGTTTTGCCTGTTTCTTGTCCAAGGCTTTCCCCCGCTAAACCGAGAGTAATCAGAAAACACGGAGGCGCCCGCATAAACATTCTCGTCCGATAAAAATAACGCGTATTCCGCCACTATTTCCTAGCCTTAGGGAGGAGACAGAAGCGCATGCGCTTGTTTTGGCGGGCCAGGGTGTGCTATTAGAGGGGCGAAGGGAAAGGAGTAGCCAAGAAATGGCTACTGGATTCGGGTCGTTGCTGCGCGAGTGCCCGCTCCTCCTGCCCCAGAACCGGGAAAAGAATGTCTACGAGGGCTTTGTCACCGCCCAGGTACTGAAATACTCGGGGCGGGTGAGGGGTTGGTGGCGGCTGCAGGTGGAGTATCTCAGTTCAGGTTCATCCGTGGTTTGTCCTTCCTTCCTTCCTTCCTTCCTTCCTTCCTTCCTTCCTTCCTTCCTTCCTTTCTTTCTTTCTTTCTTTCTTTCTTTTTCCCCTCCCCCTCCCCTTCTGGCGTGGCAGATAAGGGATGGGATGGTTCCTGAAAACCACTCCGATGCTTTCCGCGTTCGGTAAGAATTGTGATTCTGTGTTTTTTCTGAAGCATATCTACGCCCTGCCTTGGCTCTTTTCAGCTGCAGAAAATATCCTGCCTCCTGTGGAAGAGATACTTCATAAATGCCCTGTTTTCTCTCTAGCATCTCCAATGGCATGCACACAAAATAGAGATATTGTAGAAGGGCAGCAGTATAAAACTCTGGTGTCAGAGAAGAGGTGAAGTCCTGTAGCCCTTTTAAAGCTTATCAATTTTATTATTATAAGACATAAAATAATACAATGAGTGACCTGGAAGTTTTGGGCTTTTCAAAATCCTAGAGAATCCATAGGATTCCCAGCCTTAAGTTAGCCTAGCCTTCCAATTCTATCCTCCAGATTTGATGCACTGCAGCCTCTTTATTTTCTGCCAGGATAAGTAAGACTTCTCTGTTCAGAATCATGGGATATATCCTAGAGCAGTGTTTTGTGAGTTGAAATCTACACATCTTAAAGTGGTTGAGGTTTAGAAACACAGCCTGAGGGAAACCACTGCTAGGAGCAATAGCATCAAGGAATAAAATAACTTCCTATCATTGGGAGAATGTCCTATCATAGAAGAAAAGAGCATTATTTAAGTGCACACTACTTTTATTGTATTTTCTTTCTACTTTTCAAAATAATTTATATCACTCATTTTCTAAATCTATTTCTAGCTTACAAAATAAAATAAATTTGGAAAGATGCACTGTTTTTCCAGTGGGGAAAAGGGAAGAAATATCCTTTCCTCTCCATGTAATATTTTTATAGTTATTGCCAATTTATAATTTATGTCTATAATACATCTATTATAGTAAAGGGGATTTGTAAGTTTTTTAAAAAGTAATGATATACTGAATTATAGTTATTTGACTTTTGCAATTAACAATTACATCTGCTTTTTAATTCCTAAAAAAACTATTTAAATATAATAGAAGTGAGAGTTGCAATATACTATGAAACCAAAGAGCACATCATGAGAAAGGCAGGGCTAGATGAAACAAAAGTTGGAATTAAGATTGCCGGGAGAAATATCAACAACCTAAGATATGCAGATGATACCACTCTAATGGCAGAAAGTGAAGAGGAACTAAAGAGCCTCTTGATGCGGGTGAAGAAGGAGAGTGCAAAAGTTGGCTTGAAACTCAACATTCAGAAAACCAAAATCATGGCATCCGGCCCTCTCAATTCCTGGAAAATAGATGGGGAAGAAATGGAGGTAGTGACAGATTTTATTTTTCTGGGCTCCAAGATCACCTCAGATGGGGACTGCAGCCAAGAAATTAAAAGACGCTTGCTCCTGGGGAGGAAAGCTATGGAAAATCTAAACAGCATTCTAAAAAGCAGAGACATCACCCTGCCAACAAAAGTGCGTATAGTCCAGGCCATGGTTTTCCCAGTTGCAATGTATGGCTGTGAAAGTTGGACCATAAGAAAGGCTGAGCGCAAAAGAATTGAGGCCTTTGAAGTATGGTGCTGGAGAAGACTCCTGCGAGTCCCTTGGACTGCAAGGCGTTCAAACCGGTCAGTCCTAGAAGAGATCAACCCTGACTGCTCTTTAGAAGGCCAGATCCTGAAGTTGAAACTCAAATACTTTGGCCACCTAATGAGAAGGAAGGACTCACTGGAGAAGGGCCTAATGCTGGGAAAGAGTGAGGGCAATAGAAGAATGGGACGACAGAGAATGAGATGGCTGGATGGAGTCACTGAAGCAGTAGGTGTGAACTTAAATGGACTCCAGAAAATGGTAGAGGACAGGAAGACCTGGAGGAACGTTGTCCATGGGGTCGCGATGGGTTGGACACGACTTCGCAATTAACAACAACAACATGAAACCAAAGGCTGTAGGATACATTAATTGTACTTCTCTGTACTTCAGATTACATTATGAAAGTTTCTTGAAATTCTAGTGTTTGTAGAAATTGTGAAAAAAATTAATGTCTAATCACTAAACTTGGCAATAGTTTTTCAAATTAGCATTTTATGAACCATATTGGGAAACTAACATTTTGTTATTTAATTTTTTATGCTGCCCATCTCCCTACAAGGTGACTCTGGGTGACATCTCTGGATTACATCTTTGTTTCACAAATTTAGACAATAGCAATCTTTATTGGAAAACTTGGTGAAGCCTTTAAGATTAACTTAAGGCTGAATTTGTATGAGAACCATATCTGTGAGTATATTCTGTGAATTCAGCTGAATAATTTCTCAATAGATAACTTTTAGGAAAAAGTTGCAAATTATATCAGCTTTTGTACTCAATTATTTTGTCAGATGATTGGAAATTGAAACCTTTCCTGACCTAGACATGTCATATTACTTTAGTTAATGTTTGTTCTAAGGCAGGGCTTTTCAATCAGTGGTGCGGGTACCACCTGTGGTACATTGGCACCTGGCAGGTGGTACGTGACCATCCTAGAAAAGTGGTAGTGGGGGAGGGGAATAAGCTGAACCAGTGGCAGCACCGCACAAGCCTGAGCGAGAGATGGCTGGAGCTGCAGGGCTGTCAGGGCTCAGCGGAAGCGCCAGGATCAAGCTGGAGCCTGGCGCTGATCCTGGTGCTTCTGCTAAGCCCTGAAGAAGCACCAATCAGCTAGAAAGCAGCACTGATCCTAGTGCTTCTATTGAACCTAGAAGAAGTTCTGATCAGCTGGAATGTTGCAGCATCTCCAGGGTCTTGTGATTTACATTTAGATGCTTGGCAACTGATTCATATTTATTTCAGTCACAGTGTCCCAGGGTCATGTGAAGTGACCAAAACCTGCTGCAACCACCCTGCAGACAGAAGAAATAAAAACCAAACACCCCCCCCATCCCACCCCCGCTGCCAATCCTCAACAGAAATGCTCAGAACAATGAAAACCTTGGACAGAAGGAAAAACGCCACCGGGTGGGCAGGCAGGTGTCTTGCTTGGCTGTGGCTTGGGGGACACTTTTTTCAGTGCCATTGTAACTTCGAACAGTCACTAAGTGAACTGTTGTAAGTCAAGGACTACTTGTACTTTATACAAGTAGTATAAAGTACTACTTTATACTACTTGTATATTATATCAAGTTTTTGACACCTTGCTAGGCCACTGGTGGTACTTGGATGTTGCCATATCCTAAAAGTGATACAATGGGTGAAAAGATTGAAAAGCCCTGTTCTAAGGTATCCTTACGTACTAAAATGAAGCAAAATCAGTATACTTCATTAATATAGTAATTAAAATATGTTATTTTAATAGATTATAAGATTTTATGAGATTGCACAAAGTTGAAATGCAGAATTTTATACATTTTCTGTATTTTTTCCCATAACTCATAATATTAGCACATGACAGTTTAAATAGTAGATTCAAGTGTTATTGAGCACATACTGTAATTCTACATTGTCTACTATATTTTCTGAGGTATGCAGTATTTTCTTTCATATTCAATCTCTATATGAATTTTGATACAGTGAAAATGGTGTTAGCCATACAAAAGTAAGAGGTACAAATAGTCCTTGACTTACAACAGTTTGTTTAATGACCGTTTAATGTTACAACGGCACTGAAAAATGTGACTTATGACCATTTTCACAGTTAACGACCTTTGCAGCATCCGCAGGCTCATGTGATCAAAATTCAGATGCTTGGCAACTGGTTCATATTTATGACCATTGCTGTATCCCGGGGAGGTCACATGTTCATCTTTTGTGACCTTCTGACATGGAAAGTCAACGGGGAAGCCAGATTCACTTAACAACCAGGCTACTAACTTATGAATTGCAGTGATTCACTTAACAACTGTGGCAAGAAAGGTTGTAAAAGGGAGCAAAACTCACTTAACAAATGTCTCACTTAATAGAAATTTTGCGCTCAAGTGGTCATAAGTTGAGGACTGCCTGTATATGGATGTCTGGGAATTACAAGCTTTACAGATGCATATAACAATTAAACAAACAGAAGACAAAATTATAATAATTATATATTTGTCATATGAAAGAAACAAATTTATGGGAGAATGAGAAAGAATGGAATAAAGTTTAATCTCCAACTAATTACATTTAATCATTCTGTATCTTTTTCTTCAGATTCTGAAAATTATTTTTGATTAATAAATACCGGTAGCTGCTGAAATTTTAAAAAAATGCTTAAATGAGATGATTACAGATAGTCCTCAACTTATGATCACAATTCAGCCCAAAATTTCCATTGCGAAGCAAGGCAGTTATTAAGTGAATTGTACCTCTTGTTACAACTTTTTTTGCAGTTATTAAGCAAATCACTGCAGTTGTTAAGTAAGCCATGCAGCTGTTAAGCAAATCTGGCTTTCCCCATTGACTTCTGCTTGCCAGAAGCCAGCTGAAAAGGTTAGAAATGGTGATCACTTGATCCTGGAAAAGTGCAATTATCATAAATACATGTCAGTTGCCAAGCACCCAAATTTAGATCATGTTACCATGGGGATGCTGCAATTGTTGTGAGTGAAAACTGGTTATAAGTCATTCATTTCAATATTGTAACTTCACATGGTCACTAAAAGAATAGTTGTAAGTCAAAGACTTCCTGTAGTTTTTTTTTTATGAGAACTTAGGACTGTTGTAGAGGACTGCTGCCCCCGCCCCTGTCACTGTCCCTTGCCTCCCCCCGCTGCCACCGTGGGCCAGACAGGACAGTCAAAGGCATGGATGTAGCCTGTGGTCTGTAAAATGGAGTAGATCACTCTTTCTTTCTTTCTTTTTCCTCTCAGGACCCCATTCACATTATTAAAAATTATGGAGGATCCCAGAAAAAGCTTTTTTTTGTATATTCATCAACATTGACCATTTTAAAAATCTTAGTTTGCTCCTAGTTTCTTTTTCTTTTTAATCATGTCTTTCCTTTAACAAATCATATGTATAAACCTGTATACAGTACACAAAATCTGCTATTGACTTATTTATTGCTATATTTCTCTATTGTTATTGAGCAATTAATCATTATTGTTTTATATTGAGAATTTAGTGCCATAGTGTTAGTTGTATTATTGTATATACTGTATAGCAGTGGTCTTCAATTTTTGTGGCTTGGAGGCCTAGCTAGGAGGGGAGAGGGAAACTGGGCTATGCGAGTAGTGGGTAAGCCCTGGCCCGCCACTTGCACAGCTCAGTTCCGAATAGGCCATGGACCGGTAGTGAGCCGCAGCCCATGGGTTGGGGACCCTGCTGTATAGGTTTTAAATAGATGAATTTAAATGAAAATTATTTTTTAAATGTAAATAAAATAATATTAGAACATATTTTTAAAAATCTCTGATATGCTCAAGCATGTAGGCTTTGTTAAATACATATATCTGAAAATATGCCTAATGTGATTCTGTATTTCCAGGGGAGAGATTTTCACATAAGAATATTGTTACCAATGGATCGTCAGTTGAAAAATGCTAGGTGAGGAGCATAATTTCTTTATATACTGTTTTAATTTCAAAAATCATTTCATTTTCCTACAAGGAAAGGAATGATCATTAATTTGACTTGAAGATATTTCCAATATATCCAACAACTAGTTTGTTGTTACTAGTTAATTTTGATGCTAGTTAACTCAAATGTAATTTGTCAAGTCATCATTTGAGAACGCTTAATGCAATTTATGGGAATGAGAATATTTTCTAATTCTGGAGGCTAGAACTACAGAAATATAACTAGAAAGATGTATTTGGTCTTAGAATCAATCAAACTGAAATAATACTCAGGTAATAACTGACTGTTAGAAAACTAAAATATTTTCAATGCTCTAGCTAAGAAAGTATCATCTTCCTTTCCCAACTTGACAGTAAGATATGCACTACGATGTTCTGATTCATAGCACATGTTATTTGTATGATATATCTATTACATCAAGATACACTCATTTTTCACAAATGATCTCAGATCTGGCTTGGTAAGTTCTCCATTAATGTATGGATATTTCTACCAAGTCAAGCCCCATGTTACTGCATCATTACTCTTACCAGATTGATTCATAAGATAACTTGTATATCTCACTTATCAGAACAGTCATGCTGTTTGAGTCACACTTTACTTTTTGAGTAGGCTGTATGTAAGGAGTTCAAGAATCAGCCCAAGTTTGGCTTTTTAGGTCTTTTTTAACTTAAAGTTTTATAAATACTCACAAAATTGAGCTTCTAAAATTTGATTAAATTACAACAAAACCTACATCCTTATTTAAGGAAAGGAAATGGGAAGAATTGGGGAAAGTAGGTCATGAGGAAATGTCTGAAGATGTTTCAAAGATAGAGTCTTCTAAATGCTGACATTGTTATCACCTTTTATTCATTGGTGTTTCAGAATCAGGGTGAGGTGGAGGAAATGTGTGGGAAAAGCAGACTTTAGGGTACTATTTTGTTTCGGGAGGTTACGTGGAGGAAGAAAAAGTACCTGGCTTTTTTTTAATTTAGGTCTCCTTTATCATTTTCATTGGTCTCAATCTGTCTTTTCCAAACATGGAGCAACCTGTGGCCTTGTTTCAAAACCTTTTTCTTCCATCTGTGCAAGTGATTTCTTTCTATCTGCATAGATTTACCTACTTGTGTCTGTTCCTACTTTAGAATTCATTTACTGAGTAAAATCTAAGGCCCCCTGAAAAAAATTATGGAAGTAAGGAATGCTACATAAAACAGATCAGGGGCCATGCATCTCTATAAAATTACCGTATATGCCGGCGTATTAGGCAACCCGGCGTATAAGACGACCCCCGTCTTTATCGCCGAGCCGCATTCCTAGAACATCGTCTTATACGCCGGAAACTACCAGTATTTCCGGCATATAAGACGACTCAGCGTATAAGACGACCCCCGTCTTTGGCGCCGAGTTTAGCGCTTCCAGAAGTCTTATACGCCGGCATATACGGTATACCAAAGCAAAGCCAAAAATCAATTTCTGACATGGCTTTTTTTAAATTGTAATTTTATGAAAACTACAATTCCAAAGATAAAATCTAATACAAACTAAAAAATAAGGATAAAAAAATAATAAGTTCAGAAAAGAAAAAAATACAAAAAATGAAAAAGAAAGAAAATATAATAAAGAAAAGGAAAAGAACTATATAAAAATAACTTCCCCTTTCACCACCACAAGTATAAATAATTTTAATAACTTAATTAATTTTCTTAAAAAACAACAAATTATCTCTTCCCATATTCCATCTGTTAAAAAAAATTAATAGCTTAACAAATCTTAAAAGGTTGTCATTTCAATCTGGATTAGCAAATGTTTATTAAGGATTACCAGAAATAACATAACTATTTTAACCTTGATCAAATGAACTAACATCATATCCCTTATTAATAGTGTTGATCTTTGGTCCATTTAAATAATTTCTTTGTCCCTTTTCACAAAATTCTTCAAAGCTTTAACAAGCCTTTTGTAATGTAATATAGAAAAATGTTCCACCTCTCTCTCTTGGTTTATTGTTTATATAATACCTTTTAATTATAAAGACATTACTTTTTTATGTCCAGTGTAATATCCTTTTCATATTATTCTAGCTTGTTATTTTTAAATCTACATTCAGATCAGTCTTATCCATTAAAACTTGGAAAACAGTATCTCTTTCTTTCTGCTTTAGATTTCTCCTTCAGTCTGTAGAATTCTTATGACATTATGTGATAGCTATTCATGTGAAAGATTTAAATGCCTGTATGAAATAAAACTCTAGTATTTTGGATTCAGAGGCAAGAAGTATTTAAGAGTATACATCAGTTTTAATTAATTTTATTGATTAAATTGTACACCACCCAGAGTCCCTCTCTGGGGGAGATGGGCGGTTAAAAAGTGTGAAAATAAATAAAATAAAATAAAATACTGGGGCGTGAACATAACTTTTATCTGCAGCAGTTCTTATACCAGATATTTTAATTAAACAAACAGGAGAAACAGGGCTTCATTAATAATAATAATAATAATAATAATAATAATGATGATGATGATGATAATGATGATGATGATGGTTGGAAGGGACCTTGGAGGTCATCAAGTCCAACCCCTTGCTTAGGCAGGAAACCCTATACCATTTCAGACAAATGGCTGTCCAGTCTCTTCTTAAAAACTTCCAGTGTTGGAGCATTCACTGCTTCTGGAGGCAGCTTGTTCCACTGGTTAATTGTTCTAATTGTCAGGAAGTTTCTCCTTAGTTCTAGGTTGCTTCTCTCCTTGATTAGTTTCCACCCGTTGCTTCTTGTCCTGCCTTCAGGCGCTTTGGAAAATAGCTTGACTCCCTCTTCTTTGTTCCTGAGATATTGGAACACTGCTATCATGTCACCCCTGGTCCTTCTCTTCATTAAACTAGATATACCCAATTCCATCAACCTTTCCTTATATGTTTTGGCCTCCAGTCCCCTAATCATCTTTGTTGCTCTTCTCTGTACTCTTTCTAGAGTCTCAACATCTTTTTTACATCGTGGTGACCAAAACTGGATGCAGTATTCCAAGTGTGGCCTTACCAAGGCATTGTAAAGTGATATTAATGTTATCCAATATACTGCTTTTTAACAGTATTTGTTCTTGCAAGGTCTAATGTAGGAAAATGAAAGTTATTGAAATAAAATGCAATAAATAGTTGTTTGAATAACCTGTAAAGTTCACATTACTTCTACAGATTTGTGCTTCAGATCCAAGCCAAAAAAGTGCTTTAGAGTAGGCATGGGCCCCATACTGTTCCTGTTGCAGAAAAATAAGCATTTGAGATGATAAGACACTGACAGCTTGTCCAGGTCCACTCTGAAACTATAGTATCACCATTGCAAGTTTTTCCTCGGATTGCACAATTACCATGCCCGTGGTCTCTCTGAAGTACCTTTTCAGCTTTAGATCCATCACACTTAATAGCTCTACTAATTTCCAAAGCATAAATTTATTAAATATATCATATATAGATAGTTCTCAACTTATGGCTGGTCATTAAAGTCATGATGGCCTCAGAAAGGGAGCATTTACAGCATAAAATGTCATAGCCTCCTCCCCCAATGGTCACAGAACCATACATGACTGGATTCCTTAACAATTGCTTGATTCAACAATACAGAAAGTTGAAGAATTGGATCTGATCATGTGGGTGCCTTGACTTAAGATCAACATTCTGGTCCTGTTTGTGGTCGTGAATTGAGGACTAGCTTTAAGCTTTACAAAAGTTTTACAAATGCTGTATGATAATGATTGGTTTCTCCATTTATAAATGTCTATAATAGGAAATTAATTGAATAGAATAATAACTTTATTGTCACTTTGAATGTATACTAATCGGCATACATTAAAATGAAATTTCATTGCATACAGCTCTCCAAGGGTCGCCACCTCCAGTATACACTACATAAATATGGCAAAAATAAATAAATACAGAATTATGCATATACCCACATATATTATATGACACAGAGAAACAACACAGTCTAGTTCGGATTATGTATACATATGCATGGTATAAAGTATTGATGTTAACAGATGTTAACATATAAGATGCAAAGTACTAAATTATGGGCTAGTGTATTTTATCACTTTCCAATCTACAAAAAAATACTCAAATATATATCTTTTTCATTTAAATGTTAGATTGCCTGGTTTAATTGATCATGAAAATGTTTTATTTCTATAGGATTCAGTGTAGTTGGCATCTGAAAAAATTGCTTCATGGATATCATCTGATTTTAAAGCAGGTATCCATTCAAACTTTTTTTAAAAAATATGATAAAATCTATATTTATTTGAAAATCATGACTGCTATATTGATTTTTATTGAAATGTTTCATAGTACATGGATTATGGATTTTATCCAAAGTACAACAAATTATAACCTTAATTGTAAGGGAGAAACAGATTCCAACAGGGAAGACTTCTTTGAAGGAGAAAAGTCAGTTTGGAGTCATGCCTATAGCTGTAAGGCAAAGAAAAGAAAATGTGATATCGGAACCACTGAACTATATTTTTCAAAGATCCTGGAACACAGGGGAACTACCAGAGGACCGGAAAAGAGCTGATGTAGTTCCCATCCTCAAAAAAGGAAAAAAAAAATGGATCCAGGAAATTACAGACCTATCAGCCTGACCTCAATACCTGGGAAGATCCTGGAAAAGATAATCAAACAACGAATCAACGAACACCTAGAGGCAACAAAGTCATTACTAAAAGCCAACATGGGTTTGTCAAAAATAGATCATGCCAGACAAATCTTATTGCATTCTTTGACCAAGTGACAAAATTAGTGGATCAGAGGAATGCTGTGGACATAATTTACTTGGACTTCAGTAAGGCATGTGAACTTAGTAAGGTGTGAACTTAAATGGATTCCAGAAGATGGTAGAGGACAGGAAGACCTGGAGGAACATTGTCCATGGGGTCGCGATGGGTCGGACACGACTTCGCAGTTAACAACAACAACAAGGCATTTGATAAAGTAAATCACAACCTACTACTTGATAAGATAGAAAAATGTGGAGTAGACAGAATCACCACCAGATGGATCCGTAGCTGGCTGACTGGCTGTACTCAGCGAGTGGTCCTCAATGGAACTGCATCTATATGGAGGGAAGTGTGTAGTGGGGTGCCCCAGGGCTCTGTTCTTGGCCCAGTGCTCTTCAACATCTTCATCAATGATTTGGACGAAGGGATAGATGGGGAACTCATCAAATTTGCAGACGACACCAAGCTGGCAGGAATAGCCAATACTCCAGAAGAAGGCTTAAGATACAGAAGGATCTGGACAGACTTGAACACTGGGCACTAACTAACAAAATGAAATTCAATGGTGAAAAAAGCAAGGTTCTACATTTAGGCAAGAAAAACCAAATGCACAAGTACAGCATAAGTGGCACCATGCTCAATAGTAGTACCTGTGAGAGGGACCTCGGAGTCCTAGTAGACAATCACCTAAATATGAGCCAGCAGTGTGCTGCAGCTGCCAAAAAGGCCAACACAGTGCTAGGCTGCATTAACAGAGGGATAGAATCAAGATCACGTGAAGTATTAATACCACTCTTCAATGCCTTGGTAAGGTCACACTTGGAATACTGCATCCAGTTTTGGTCACCACGATGTAAAAAAGATGTTGAGACTCTAGAAAGAGTACAGAGAAGAGCAACAAAGATGATTAGGGGACTGGAGGCTAAAACATATAAGGAACGGTTGCGAGAATTGGGTATGTCTAGTTTAACGAAGAGAAGCACAAGGGGGGACATGATAGCAGTATTCCAATATCTCAGGGGCTGCCATAAAGAAGAGGGAATTAAGCTATTTTCCAAAGCACCTGAAGGCAGGACAAGAAGCAACGGGTGGAAACTAATCAAGGAGAGAAGCAACCTAGAACTAAGGAGAAACTTCCTGACAGTTAGAACAATTAGCCAGTGGAACAACCTGCCTCCTGAAGCGGTGAATGCTCCAACACTGGAAGTTTTTAAGAAGAGACTGGACAACCATTTGTCTGAAATGGTGTAGGGTTTCCTGCCTGAGCAGGGGGTTGGACTTGATGACCTCCAAGGTCCCTTCCAACTTTACTACTACTATTAAAAGTTTATAGGAAATGCAGAGAATTAGAGCTACTATCAAATAAGGAAATAAGGTGTCAAAAATGCTTGAAAGAATAGCCCGTGGGATAGACAAAATAAAACTGAATTATATTCAATCAGACACCAACCCATAGTATGTTTTGTGAAGTTGTATCATGTTAAAAATAGAAACAAGTTTGAATTAAAGTATTTTAGGGATTTGGTTATTGGTATAGTTGGATAAGCTTAGTTAGAATTTGTTTGTTATTTTTAACCCTGTAATCAGCTCTGGGAAGTGAGGGTTGGGGTGGGGGGGAGGGAGGGAGAGAGGGTTATTGTATTGTAATAATAAATTTGTATAGAACTTTTCAATAAAAAAAAAATAGAAACAAGTGGGGGGGAATTGAAAGTGATCACAATATTGTTTCCCCAATGATGCATGTAGGTAGTCTTCAAGTTATTACCATAATGGAGCCTGTCCATTAGGTTGGAGGTCAGGACAAGCATTAAATAAACTCCTCAGATAATGACCAGCCAACCCTATTCTCCCCAGTACACTCATTAAACAAATATGTTAGCTGATAAGTGGAGCACAAGTGCCTCTGGTGGAGAGATTCTGGGAGGCCTAGTGCAGGCACAGGACCTCCCTCACTCCCTGAGATACTCCATGCCCTACTTCCGCTCCTTGAGTGGTACACATGTCCACAGCACAGTTGTCTTGCCAGAGAAAAACAATGGGAAAGAAAAACTCTGAACATGCCTGCCTTTCCTGGTTTTGCCATTACTTTTCCTCCTGCCAAGGTGCTGGCCAGCAGGAGACTGCAAAATCTGGCTCTTGCTAGAAACCAGACCAGCTTGTGTCCCATTTTGTTGCACATAGCTAAACTTTTAGAAGTGAACTTTTTTCTGTAGCTCCTCAAAGCAAAAGTCTGCAGAACGATTTTCTTTGCTTGCTTCCTCAGTTGCAAGCCGGACTGGTGCACGTTTGGCTTGCAAAGTTGGAGAACTGTGTGAAGGGAGTATGAGCCTGGTTGGGATTCTGGGAGTGGGGGGGGGGAGGAAGAAAATGAGAAAGAAGAGAAAGAAAAGGTAGCAGGAGGAAGAGGAAGCAGGATCAGGAGGAGGAGGAAGAAGAAGAGGTGGCAGAAAGCAGGAGGAAGAAGAGGAAAGACGCGGAGCCCAGGAGTGGCAAGCTAGTTGCAAGTTCAGCTGGCGAAGAACCTATGCACTGGGCAAGACAGCTTCTGCCCTCCTGCCTCAGCCCTTAGCCCTGTAGACTCATTGCATGCCTGGAGGTGGAAAGTATATCTTCAACTCACCCCCAGCTGCACGGCCCAGTACCAATCTACAGACCAGGGGGGTTGGGCACCCCTGCTCTAGGGAATTACTTTGGTGTGCATTTAACCTCTCAGTTCCCTGTTAGATTTTTTTTCATAAACACTTTCAATCTCTCCACTTAATCATGAGCTCAAAAGCAATTTGTGTACCCCAAACATAGGGAGATTTGTGGGGTAATGGTTGAAATCCACTCAACTGGCAATGTGTATTCTACTGATTGATGGTCATAATATGGTAACTATGGTACCGCAGAGAGATGAGGGAGCCTTGAGATAGAGGTAGACACTTACCCTAGTGCTAATTTCACACTTTCTGATGTGAGTCTTCAACCTTACTTTAAGAATATTTGTTGCCAGATAAATATCTGGCGTAATATAAAAAGTAATTGCATGAAATCATTAACAAAAAAAAAATGTTTTTCAGAGGTTGGCACATTCTTCAGATTTAGTCAGTTTCATGGTAGAGTTGAAGACTATTTTGGTGAGTTACAATTTTACAGAGGACTACTGATATCTGTTTATTATCATTAATGCTATAATGAACAAGTGATCCTTTTCATTAATAATCTTAATACTTATATTTTAAAATAAAATCCTTGTAAGAAATAGTTATCTATATAGGATGACGCTATTGCCAGTAAATTTCACTTCTCAAGTAAATAGTTATAAATATAGTCCTGCAAAACTAGCTGTTTTGCTGCTCAGAGAATGCCATTCCCGGAGGTATTCTTTGTAGTAAATACAGCATATAATGTGATATAAGTGTACCTTTTAGATAGTTCTTTTGACATTTTTATCATAGACTTTTCCATATCTTCCATTATTTTATGACTTTTCAAAATTATTAATTCTTTTAAAGATTGATTGCTCCCTTATTGTAGCACTCATATAGCCCTTAAAAGAAAAATATAAAGAGCACGAGCAAGGCTCATGTTAACTAGTCCCTTAACTCCTATGAAAAAGCCTATCTTTTAACTATTATTTGTATGTTAATTGTTTTCTAAGGATATGTCCTCCCCTCCCTATGCTATAAAATTCACAACTTTGCACCTTGATTTTATAAAAAAGATTTAATAAAAAAGATTAAAGCAAAAAAGGCAGTTTTGCCCCACACAGGGCTATTGAATGTAAAAATGTAAATGTAAAATTTCTGAATGTAAATTCAGCATTATAATGCTGCATAGTTTGTGGTTTGCATGAGTACATTACCTAGGAAAAGCACTGTATTTATTGCAGATAATCCTTTAAAAATAGATCTTTTAGAAACTGAACTGAAATTAGATGTTGTAGTCTTCTCTGTTGTTAGCCATTTTGAGCGCATGAGTGGTGACAGGAAAAGAACGATAAGAGGAAAAAAATCCAACAAATGTTATGAGATTGTTTTATCACATTACTTTTAATTTATTTAGGTTATCTTTTATTCTCAAATATAGTCACTAAGTGCAATTAAAAATCTCCACTATACTAGAGGGATTGTGCTGATGTTGAGAATTTTCTATATGTATCTTCCCATTAAGACAGCCATTCATTTAATGGATCCCTTTCTTTTTAAAGTGTGCTTTTAGCCAGAGTGTTTGACTATTACCATTTTTAAAACTCTGATACATACTTCATATGTATGCATATATGCATTGGATAATACCTGTTTAAAATGTGGAGGGGATTGCTAGCCAAGTGTTTAAAAGCAGTTTAATGGATTAAGGTTTTTCTGTTTTAGCCAAGAGACCTTGCTGCTATCCATCTAAAATTGGCATGACTAGAAGCGCAGCCAATTGATATCTATGAGAAATGAACCCAACTGAATTGGGTTTACTTTCAGGTAGTTGTGTATTTATGAACTTATGAACAATTACCTGCACCTAATCACTTTATTTTCAAGTTTATTTCTGAGTAACGTGAACCAGTTGTAGTGTATGTCATACTGAACAGGAATATAAGCAGAAATATTTCTGGTTTTAATTTTAAGATTCATAGGTAGATTTGGTAGATGGTTAGATAAACAGACAGACAGACAAGAACCAAGTCAAAAACATGAACTAAATAAACTTTTCTTTTAAAAATAAAACAGGAACTTGCTTTGAAAAACACAGAAGAATTGTGTGCCCAACCACCTCCACAATATTATTCTGGCCTCATCAGAGATATAGAAAATTTGGGATGGAATAAGTATTTATATTTATTATCTTCTGCAAATACCAAAAAGTTAACCTGCCAACGTTTAAAATACTTTTATATAGTACACTGGATTTTGCTCTGATTATTTCAGTACTTAACAGTTTTGTTTTTTTTAAATAGTTGCAGTTAATCAATATTTAATAAAGTTTAAAATCATAATATTATATAAAATGTCATTTATACTTACAATCACTCTACTTCTGAATTTGGTTATTTAGAGCAAAACTCCCACTTTACTTTAGGATATTTAGGATATTAGTATTTTGGGCTTCTTGCTCTGCACTTAGGGGAACTGAAATCTAGCTTAACTTTTGGCTTACAGGAACTGAGTCCGAATCCTTTCAAATTCAGCCTGATTTCTGTCAGAAAGTCAGAATGTTTTTAAGGAAGAATACTGTTAAAATGTCACTTTTTAAATATTCTGATACCCTACCTGATAAAATAAATACAAAGATAGTGTATGGTTTATTGCTTTGTAGGAGCAATCATTCTGTTTTGGAAAAGCAGGTATAATATACCATGATGTGATCAATCAGCCTTTATATTTCTACCTATCTTACCTTACTTACTAGCTTTCAGTATTGACTGTCTAGACTAAGATAGTGCAGACCAAAATGCACAAGGAAAAAAAATATTATTACATGGACAGGCAGGTGGGAGGAATAACCATGATGGGTTACAATTAAAACTTTTTATCTGCCATTCTCCCTCCCAATTTTAGCTATTGCTATTTTGAATATATACCACGAGGATGAATTTTAAAAATAATTCTGTGTCTGGGCTATGTCACTTGTTTCAAAGAACCTTTTTGTTGTTTATAATCTACTGAGATAATGAATTTTCCATTAAATATAAATATCATATATTAAAGCTAGCCTTATAGCTCCAGGCAAAATAGAGTTATGAGAAATATGCTTAAAAGTATAAACCAGTATAATATGTGTGTGTGTTTATATCTATATCTATATCTAAAAATCCACTTTGTAGTTTTTTTCATGCAAATGTGCAGTCCACTTCCCCCCCTTCCAGATTAGTATATAAAAAGTAACTGCAAAAATGAATGAAAATTTTGCCAGGAAGTGTAATATGTAGAGAAATAAAGGCTGACAGAAGTACACTTTATATGCCAAAGGTTCCAGTGATAGAAAACTGAAACATGCTGTTCATTTCCACAGCATGAGTTCTGACACAGTATAAATAACCCAAAAGTATATGATTGAATCAAGCAGTAAATTTATAACAGCAAAAAGGTCTGTCATAGATGATTTCCAATTAGTATATTTAGAATAAACTAATAGAAATGAATTACTAATAGAGTTATACCGGAACTTGTTTTTTTCTTCTTCTTGTAGAGTTGTGTTTATAGATCCTGCTTTTAGTACCATCAGGTTAAAAGCTGAAGACTCTTCTGGTCGGGATCATCAAATCACCTTGAAATTAAATTCAAAAGTAAGAGTTTTTAAAATGTTGGAAACAAACCATAACCTGATGAAACTGCCACACATAAGATTTTTATGGATGTTGATTAGCTGAAAAATCATATACAATTATTGGTATTTTAAGAATTGCTTTTGCTTTCAGTTTAAATTATGCTGTACAGTTGAAACATACAGAGGTTTCTAATATAAAAAAACTAGTGGGAACAAGAGGGAATTATGGATTTTATCTGAAGAATTAATGATCCCATCTCGGCAGTCTAGATTGATATGAGAATTAGATTTCTCTATTTCTATTCAATCAGATTACAAAAATTTATCTGAGGGTCAATTATTTTACTTAGAGAGCAAGTTACAAAATGGATGATACTTTAGAAAGAGTAGTGCTTGGTATATCAGAGGATTATTGCAGGGAAGGTTGTTAGGGGGTGACAAATGGTATGGATGTTAGAGAAAGATGTTATGGAAAAGAGAATTTGAAAAGGAATTGCAAGAGTCTGGACACGTCAGGAAATGGTTTCCAGCCAAGACATTGGTGGATAATGATGGAGGTGACAGCCAACCCTTGGCAGTTCCTCCCACAAAGATAACTGGAAGGAAACAGTGAGAAAGCAATGTAGTGATTGTCATTGTTGATCACACAGCCATAGAATGCGAGATGGGCAGCAAATAAATTTAATAATAATATTAAACAGACAGCAAGTGCCATCTCTGCTAAAGAAGCTAAAGAAACAGTGGGCCACCTGGTTAACTGCTGCAAGAAGATCACACAGATTGACTACAAACAACGACACAACAAATGCTCATACAGAAAATTCATTAGAAGATCTGCAAGAGATACTATTTGCCTGCAAGCAAGAACTGGTGGGACCATAAAATGAAGCAAATAATAGAAAATGAAGGAACTAAATTACTCTGGGACTTAGAATTCAAATTGACAGGCACCCACCACATAACATCCCAGATTTAATAAATCTGAATAGTGAATATGGTACCGGTAGTACCTAGAGACAGCAGACTAGAAGAGAAAGAACTGGAGAATATAATAAAATACAAACTTCAAATAGGAATAGAACAACTGTGGCAAAAGAAAGCAAAGGTAACACCAATAGTAATAGATGCTTTGGGTACAATCCCAAAACAACGAGCACCACATGAACACCATTGGCATTGACAAAATAACTATCAGTCAATTGCAAAAGCCAGCTTTACTTGGAACTCCTTACATCCTGCAATGATATCTTTAACACTATCAAACATCAACATCTGCCTATCCCAGGTCCTTGGAAAGGACTTAATAGGTGGATAGAAATGCCAAATCCAGTCTGAACACCTGGTTAACTGTGTGATGAACTATAGTAATAGAAGTCATAGTTGTGGTTAGAGTATCCAAATAAAGGCTGTAAAAGTGGTTCAGGGGGACAAAAGGTGGAAAAATCTAATGATAGATTTGGAGCTGGGAATGGTGACTGGAAAATTTGGAAAAAACAGTGAAGAAATCAAAGCAGAAGGATAGACTGAATACATTATCAGTTGAAAGGTAGCAAGTTGCAAAGAGGCCATTACCTGGGGAGTTCATGATATACCTATATTGGAATAGTGAGTCTCTATGACAGGTTTTAAGAGGGGGTTATTACAGATAATAGAAAGTGGAGGGCAAGGTTCAGTGTGATTGATAGTGAATGATGGGAGATTGAATGTTGTCATGATGATTGTGACTTTGATGAATTTTAGTTTGGGATATGTGATTGGGAAGCTGGGATAGGTTTGAAGAATTGTTCTTGCAGATAATAGATAGCAGGAGCCACATGGGCTTCTGAAATGGGAGTAAAGAGATAAAGCTGATACAGAGATTGAGATGGGTAGAAGTCACATTGCTTAGGCTATTAGAAGTGTGACCTGTCCAGTCTCCAATTGCCCATTCGTGTTTTAGGGAAGTTTAACGAGATCAAGCGATAACAGCTCAACAATTACTAGAAGAACTAGATTATTTAGATTCCTCTCAGTTAATATTTGATATCATTGTGAAATCCCACTGAGAGGTCAGCCATTGGTTTGGGTAAAGTGTCATCAGTAGACTGATGATTTTCAGTTGCACATGTCCACTTCAGGCTGACCTGGAGATGTTTCATGAGTCTTGAACTGATATATAGAGGCTATAACAGATTACATAGGGAGAAGCAAGAGCCATACAACTTTTCATGATGTGGTGCACAATATATAGGGACTGCTTTAAAATGTACTAAACAACCTGAGATCCATTGGGTCATTATTTTAGAGCAGTGGTTCTCAACCTTCCTAATGCCGCGACCCCCCAACCATGTGGTCGTAAGTCGAGGACTACCTGTATTTCCCTGCGGGCAGGGCAGGAGGAGGTACGCACATTCCACTTCCTCTCCTGTGGCTGGAGCGCATGCTGGGAAGGCCGAGGGTGCACACAGGCCATCGCCTAGCAACTGCCTCAGCCCAGGAGCGCCGCGCTTGCATGGTGCCGCCCCCTGCACCGGCCGAGGCGTAGCTGGCAAGCGGCAGCGACGGCACAGGACGACCACCAGCTGGGCCACCAGCTGGCCCAGCCCAAGGGAGGTAAGCCACCCGCCGGGCCCCACGCCCGCCAGCAAATCTCCCTGCGCCCGCCACTGCCCTGCTAGCCTTACATTGGCCACCGCACGTTCGGTGCAGCGGCAGGCAGGCCCAGGCGCTCCTGGGCGGCCATGGCACGTGGTAGTGAGGGCGCAGGGCGACCAATGGCTGGGCCACCAGCTGGCCCAGCCCAAGGGAGGTAAGGCACCCGCCGGGCCCCACGCAGCCAGCAACCCTGTGTCCGCTGGCCTCCCACCCCTGGCCCTCTTTTACTTACATTTAGTAGTTGCTCAGCAGGGAGGAGTGGAAACGTCCAGAAAGCTCGCCTTAGCTGCAGACAACTTGCAGCACCATTTGCAGACTGGGACTTTTGGCGGGCTCAGCAGGGCAGAGACAACCTGGACAATTCCTATTGGCTTTCAAAAGCCAATAGAATAAAAGGGAGTAGCACAGCTAAGGAAAAGGGGAAAAAAATGGCAGACTGCGTTGTTTGGCGACCCCCGTGAAATGGTCGTTCGACCCCAAATGGGGTTGCGACCCACAGGTTGACAACCGCTGTTTTAGAGTTACATCCTTATCTAAATAGAGAAACAGAATGATCATGAGTGGGCAAAAAAGCAATGAGAGCAGGAGTGACTTCCGACTTCCTTCTGACTTCCACATTGACTTTCCTTAAAGAAGCTGGTAGGGAGTATTGAAAAGGATAATTACCTGACGGTGTGGCAATGCAGCAATATTGAAGTGGGCACAACTCTGCTAAATTTCAATCGAATGGGGGCCTGGTTCCCAAATTTTGAATACACAAGTTAGCTTATTTGAGGTAAATTGATTCAAAAATTGTTGCCTGTGATGTATCATTTCACCCTACTGAAAGTTGCAAACAGACACAAGAGTATTAGTAGTATGTTTCTGCCAGTTTGGCATGGCTGTCTAGAGAAGCTCTTGTGAAGTAAATATCAATACAGGAGGCCCTTAACAACCATTTGTTCAGTGACTATTTGAAGTTGAAACAGTGCTGAAAAAATAATTTCACAGCTCATTTATGACCTTTGTAATGTCCTTCAGTCACATGATTGCCATTACAATAAGTATGGCTTGTCCTATGCCTGACTTGTGTTTTCTTTTTCCTCCTTTCCCTCCTCCTTGCACATCAGATTGATAGGAGAGGATGGGATTGCAAAAATGTAAGCTGTTTGCTCTTTTACATTTCAAAAGCAAGAGACTAGGAGCTCCTGGCACACTACACAGTTTATAGTATGCTCTAGGAGTTACTTGTTCTCCAATCTTTCTCCTCTGCTGGGGAATAAAGGAGGGAAAAAAAGCAAGCAGTTTCAATAGGGAATCCTTCTTTTGCCCAAATCTTTCAACATTGCTAGTGCAATTGCATTGGTCTTGATTTGTAGAAGAGCAGACAGCCTGGTCTCTTGAAATAATTTTCTCTCCAATCTTTTCTTTGTCTTATCCTTCCCCCCCTCCCCTCACAGTCCCAATTAGGCTCCTTAAGCAAGTGCTACCTGTAAAAAGGATATAGTCAGAAGGCAGCCCTTTTCTGTATGAGCCCTTGCACAGTGGAATATATTCTCTAAATATATGCTTAACTACTATCCTTCCGATGCTTTAGCCATTCTTTCTCAGTTGCACTTTGGGCTGGAATGAATCTTAGGGACAACTAGCTAGCTCGCTTTGTGGCTTTGATGTTAATTTGGGATGAAGTGGGGCATTAATTAGGGTTAACCTTTTCTTTTTCATCACCCAGAATCTGTTGGTAGAGGTGGTCTACAAATGCTCTAAAATAAACAAGTTAGATAAGCCTTATTAACTAAGCATGCTCACAAAGCAGAGGCTTGATTTTAGGTAACTGTTCATAAGTGCAAAACAGTGGGTAGAATTGTAGTCTAGATCAGTTGCAGAAAGCACTTGATGAGAGTTGGACACCCCCTCCCCAGCCCAACTAAGAAATAACCTAGGAACACCCCAACTAAACTGGGTCAACAGCAGCCTGAGGCTAAATGGCAAACACTTGACACACACAATGAGGAACCAGTTAGCAACAATCAGGACACAACAATAAAGTAATTAACACCTTTCAGGCAGGATTAGCAAGGAAATTTAACCAACAATAGTCACTGACCAACAAATCAGAAAAGGCAGATTCAAACTCACCAATCAAAATTGACAAAATTGGAAACCACAAAAAGGTATAAAACCTCTGTTTAAAAGATCATTCTGTCTAGCTAGCCGGGGACTCGAGCTGAATTGTCACTCAACGCTGATCCTCGAAATAAAACCTCTTTCTGGTAGCTGGCTTCACGATCTATTTCTTCTGCGCTGCACCGTCAAGGGGAATCCCGGCTGGAAGGACCGAACGGGGGAGTTCCTCCCAACAATCTGGCGACCCAGATGGGACTTCCAGCTCACCCAGCCACCGGA